GGAGAGTTTGGTTTAGCAGTTTAGGATTCAGTGCTTAGCTATCACTCTGAATGGACATGTGAAACCTCTCAGCGGGCATTCCGTTTTCATGTCTGGGCTTGGGAGGCTGCAGATGCTGCACAAAGGCCTTCAGTGTCAAGGTTTAGGGGTTCATTCCTGACAGCCGGACAAGAGCCACATGTCCTAAGAGTAACGAAGGAGCAACAAGGGAGACTCAGTACCCAAACCCCCCTGAACCCTAAACCTTCAAACCAAAAGCTAAACCCTAAACCTTCAAACCAAAACCTCAACCCTAAACCCTAAACCTTCAAACCAAAACCTAAACCCTATCGAAGAGCAAAAGCTGGTAAAGCCGGCCTCCAGACTTCCCTGCAAGTTCGAGCGGCCAGGGTTCGCCCCGCAGAGCTTTGGGATGCCTACCTGGGAAGTTGGTGACGCAGGGGCGCCCCCACCCCCACCCACCCCCACCCCACCCCCACCCCCACCCCCACCCCCACCCCCACCCCACCCCCACCCCCAAAAGGAGGCGGAGCCTGGGCGTCGGGCTGAGGTTTTGGGCGCAAGACATGCGAGCACCCGCAGAGAGAAGATCTGGCTTCTTCCAGAATCCCTTAGACTTGTCACTCTACCTTAAGGGCTCCTTAAAAGGGAGCTGTAAGGGGTCTATAAGAGGGTTCTTAGGGCTTACTTAAAGGATCATGGGACTTAGTAACTAGGGTGATAATTAGGGTAACTATACTTATAACCACAATTAAGGTACTTATAACCTTACTTGCTAAGTCCCATGATCCTCCAAGTAAGTGTAGTTCGGACATGCCCGTCCATGGAAGAAGATAGCTTCTGAACCATGCATACAAAATCATGGCTTTGACGAGATAGTGAGAATCTGTAAGAGTCGTTACTGTCTTGTGCATCACCATCATCATCTTCATCTTCTTCTTTATCGTCATCATGATCTTCTTCTCCTTACACGTGCATACACACCGCTAGGAATTTGTACTAGTTGCCGATAACAGCTAGCGACAGACAATAATGCGTTCCTTTACCTTACATGACGCCTTAGCCACTACATGCTTACGTAAGGTGTCTATGTACAGATACATAAATATATGTATAGATTCAAATATAGATACATATATGATATAGAGATATATATGAGCACGGCAGCATAATATTTCTACCCCTGCTCATGTATACGGCAAACTTGGGCAGGGTGATGATGGACCGATACACTCATCACAGAACACAACAAGCTAGTCAGGTACGGCTCCCAATACCATCCAAACCCTTCCTCCCAAACCCGTCGCTTGCTCGGCCGTGGCACCCAGCCGACGTTGAGCAGAAGGCATCTGCCACCATTCTCCGCAACCCGGTGGAACCTGCAAGCGGCTCTGTCGGGTTTAGGCTTTAGGACTTTCTAGCTTCACCAGCAGCGCTTATGCTTTAGGGCTTGGAGAGAGTTTAGAGGTTTCGGGCCAAAGACTCAAGAGTTCAGGCTTTGGGCTCCTGGGCCAAGGAGTGCCATTTGTGCAGAGTTTGGGCGGAGGACCAAAACGGGAAGAGGGATTAAGCAAGTGCATGGCTTGCGGCGGTTTGGATTTCCAACACGTGTGGACTTTAGGGGTGGAGGGTTCGTTGAATTTTAAGGCTTCACTGTTATGAAGACCGAAGAGCCGAGCGTAGTAGAAGGAGCCCTAAACCCTAAACCCTAAACCCTAAACCCGAAACCCTGAACCCGAAACCCTAAACGATAGGGTCGAATCCCAGACCTGCAAGAGTCGCCTCTTCGAGGCCGAGTCGCAGCGTCGCCGGGAGCTCGGCAGCATCCCCGATCCGTCGACGCTTGGCCTTACTTGGAGGATCATGGGACTTAGTAAGTAAGGTTATAAGTACCCTTAATTGGGGTTTTTTAAGTATAGTTACCCTAATGATAACTCCAGTTACTAAGTCCCACGATCCTTTAAGTATTCACCACACAGACAAGGATGTTTTTGCGCTTCCGGGGCCCCAGAGGCAGAAAGCAAGCCGGTCCCCGAAAGCTCCCAACCAGCTGGAGATCTCAACCCAGGCATTCCAAAGACCGTTGTGCGAGATTTTCTAACGAGTACGTAGATGTGAATCCGAGTCCAGAAACGCCCAAACAGGCTAAACATCAGCTTTAAAACACAGTTCAATCATGTGCTGAAGGTGCTGATTGTAACCGTGTCTCGTTCGGACTAAACAGAAGGTTAGTACCGCAACCATAACCATCCGTCTTGCTGTTGTTCAGGTGAACACATGCATTGCCATTTTTAGCCAGACTCTTGACACCAATAGTAATCTTGTTGCTGCCCTCTCTTGCAAGCCGATCCCCACTAGGACTTCCAGTGTGATCTTGCGGCGGTGCTTTACCTGCTAGTGCTGGCTATTCTTCTACCACCCCGACTTTTATCATCATCGTCTTCATCAACATCGTCATCATCATTATCCGCCACCTCGTTGCCTTGTTTCTTACACTTGTGAAAGTTCGTTTCCGTGTTGTGCTGATAACCCCATCCTTGAGAAATCACAGCGGGCTCCTGAAGTTGAGGATAATCCATGCAGGCACGCTGAATGCTGAGGTGCGACGCTTGAGGCTTGCTGAGTCTCACAAACTGCTAAAATCCGACAGCTATTGATTACCCGAGCTCCTCCCATAGTGATCCCAAACCCTAAACCCTAAAAAGGGTCCTAAACCCCAAATCCTAAAGATCAGGGCCGTCGCCAGACTTCCCAACCCAGGCCTGGCCTGGCTGAAGGCCGACACAAAGCAGGCAGAGGCACGTGGGGGAGGCCGGCAGTAGCAGGGAGCCGTCTTCCTGGGCTTTTCCAGCACAATTCTTGGATCATGGGGCTTCGGGGCTCTCTTTGTGGCTTTTGTGTCCGGCATGACATGACATGCCTCCAGAGTACTTGCCCCTACTGCTGTCACGAAAGGAGAAGTACCGCTGCTACGATCAGATCAATGCATACATGCGAAGAGGCCCCAGCAGCAAGAGCGGACCGTATCTTTCGTCGGGCTTCACTAAGACCTTCCCCTGGGCATCGGTGGAGAGGAATGCATCCTGCTGCGGCTTGGGCTTAAGACCCAGGTGTGAGGATCGAGGCCCTTGAGATTCAGGGAGTTAGGTACCCAAACGCAAATGCGAAACTCCACTGAGAGCCGCAAAGTGCCTCAAGGCTTGAATCCCAAGTATCCACCCATGAGCTTCACAACCCTGAAGTAGGCCCAATTATTGCAGATCTATGTTGCGGGATGGTGGTCCTCGCTGTGGCTCGTTTGGATAAGACTAAACAACCAGAGTGAAATCTCTTCAGTTCGGCTTGAAAGCTCATGCCAGCCCATTCATCAGACCAGCGTAAGCTCAAACAAACCAAACATCCGATATGGACCAGAGTGATACGATTACGGCATCAGCAACAGGCATCAGAGTTTTCCTATGAGGACAAGACTGCGGACAACGACAATAGGAAGACTGCCCCGTCGGAAACTCCACAAAACAGCTGTGTTCTTTTCCGACCCTCCCGGATGTGCAAGTCTCATGTACGGATAAGAGACATCCGACTTACATACCGAAGGCTGTGAAACCTGGAACTTCAAAGCACTGGTAACGTTATCGTTGCAGCGGCATTGCTACTAGTGTGATGCTTCGGTGATAAGTACCTGTACTCTTACTACAAGCATTACTCCAGACAAAACCGAAAGCTTCAGGGCTCGATGCTAAAACCCTCAACCATCAAAAAACCTGTTGGTACCTCAGTCAAAGAATAATATTACCCGCAAAACTGATGCTACTGCTAACTGTACTTGTAGTGGTAACAATAACACTAGCAATACTACGAGTAATAAGACTACTACTAATGAGACTACTAGTAATAAGACTACTAGTAAGAAGGACTACTAGTAACAAGACTACTCGTAACAAGACTAACAATACCAGAGCCACCAGATCATTGCTGGAGACGCGGTGTTCGCTGCCCGGCCGCCCAGTAAGCAGCGTAGCCCAGGAAGACCGGTTCTGGCGCAGAGTTTGGGGTTTGGGAGTTGAGGGATTTAGGGTTTAGGACTTAGGGGTGTTCCGGGATTAGGGTGTAGGGGTTTAGGGGTCTAAGGTTTAGGGGTTTCGAGGTTTAAGGTTTAGGGGGTTTAGGGTTTAGGATATCCCTGAAGCCTCCAGGACTCTAGGGTTTTCGGGGGTTAGGGTTTAGGTTCCGGGGTTTGGGGGGGAAATCCTTTTACTTGCCAAGGCCGCTGGCTATTCCAAGCAATTATGGGATGTACCGCTTTGCTTCTTGATGTGCCTTTGATTCTTCTTATACACACTGTTCTTGTGTTATTGAGCCATGTGGATCTGAGTAGTAACTCGTACACATTGATCTAGGAGGCTTTCTGCGTTGCCTGACTCAGCCGGACGCAAAACCCAGAGTGCAGTGCAGGCATTCTGGGTTTGGAGGTTAGGATTTGGGTCCAAGGCTAGGGGGTTTAGGGTTAAGGGTGCAAGTGCTCAGGGTTAGGGTTAGGGGCTCACTCTCAAAGCTCAGGCATTTGCGAATTTGGGGGTTTGTTGCCAAGCCTGTCGTACAGTGGAGAGAGAAGGCACATCGGTAGAAGCACCACCCTGGCAGGCATCGGACACGCTTGACCAGTTTCCCATTTCCCAGAGACGGAGGGCCTACACCGCGCCGCGCCTCGCTTCACGCTATACCCGACCCCAGAACAACACCACACAACTAGCACCACTTCGTGATGGACCATGTGCAGACTCCAGCCTTCTAGCAGGAGCTGCGCTTGACGTTACCTTTGACATGCACCCTAGTAGCTACAGTAATATTTAATAATAATACTATTCTACAGTAATACTATACCATAATAATACTATACTATAATCATACTATACTTTCATGATATTATACTATCATTCTCAGGGAAAACCTGAAGCTCCCAGCATCCTGAAACATGCACGTCTCATCGAGCCACAAGCCTTCGCATTCCGAAGCAGCGCACGTACATTGGGCGCATCTGCTGCCAGCAACGCCTAGACGGACATTCATGCACCAGGAAGGCAGTGCCGCACGACACATTGGGGTTTCCGAAAATAGGGGACCCTAATATAAGACTCCAAATAGTAGGATCCTCATCATAAGGACCCCAAGTAAGGTACCCCGAATTTTCGGAAACTCCCACATTGCAGCTCAATGCAGATGGGCTGCATCTGGTCGACAGCCGTCGAGCCTGTGCTGCAGGAGCAGGTGACATCTGCCATCGAGGCTTCGGATGGCGCGGTTGATGTGGCTGTCTGCATTTCTTATTTCTTGAAACTTGGTGAAGCAATGCAAGATATCATATATATATATATAATACAACATACTGTACATATGAAATAGTATATATTATATAACCTTAAACGATATATTATATATTCTTCTTTATTTTATCATGCCATATTCCTTTCTACTCTATAACATTGTAAGGGCAGCACGCCGAACACAGAAGTGTTCGTCTGCTCCAACCTTATCAAAGTCAGGTTCCAACACTCTCAAGCGACGCCCCCAGCCTCTTGAAAAAAGGTCATAACAATAACAATAACGATAGTAATAAGAATAGTAATAACACGAATAAGAAGATTGTAAGCATTAATATGTGCCTCCAACCACCCAGAAACCTCAAACGTTATCTTCACCTCTTTATGTCGGGTCACAGTAGCAGCCCGCTTCGGCGGCGGCTCCGCCATGTGGCTTCGGCAAGTGGGTTCTACGAAAGAGCAGTGGCTGGAGGGCACCATACTTAAAGGGTCATGGGACTTAGTAACTAGGGTTACAATTAGGGTAACTATATACTTTTGACCCCAATTAAGGATCCTTCAAGTAGGTCCTTTGTGTCTGCAGTCAATTGTCAGATCTGGAGGCTTGAATCCCGCATGTGCCAATTAGCTGTCAAGCGTTCTTGTCATAACTTGCCTGAAGTGCAGTCGCTTGTCCAAAGAGCGGCTCTTTACGCCGTATGCAGACGGCATAGTGAGAATCTTTTCCAAAAACTGCAAACCCTAAGCACCCTTTAACAAACTGAAAGCCCTAAACCCTAAACCCCTTAGCCCTGGGAGCCCGCACAGGGCCACAGCGCCCGCACCGGAGACCAAGACTGCTCTTGAGTCGCCTGAAGTGCGGGTCTGAGCGCTTAAAAAAACTTGGGGGCCTATGTAGGGCCTTTCAGGCTTTTCGGGTTTTGACGGGTTTTAAATTAAGGTCTTTAGAGGTTTAGGGTTTCGCATGTGAGGATAACGAGACTGGGTTTCGGGTGCAGAATAGGTATCACCGCCAGAGAATGTGTTTCAAGTCTAGGTTTGGCTCCCTAAACGTTTCATGGCTCCCAGTGTGGTGCGGCCCACATGTTCAAAAAATGGCTGCTGTCGGGGCTCACATTGAATAAACCTCTCCACATGCCGAAGAGTCACCGCAGTTTGCCACGTAGAGGCGCAAAGACGTTCGGCAGAGCAAAGCTACGACCTCAGGCGGCAAAAACTGCCATATGGCGCTCCGAGTGATTGCACTCATCTACATGGGTCGGGACCCGAAGGATATTCAGATCTTAAATAGCTCGTCGGCTTCGGAGATCGACCTGGTCACTCTTCCCCACATCGTCTCCGACTTGTCCATTCCGTCTTCGAACCCCAGGACTGGGTATCCCGGCCGCAGTGGTGCCGGTGCCCAGTGCCGAGGCCATTCCACTGCGTTTCAACCGGGTTCGGCCCACCTAGTTGCGTGTCACGTCTGGGCGTAGAGGTTGGAGTTGGAGGTTTCCGGTGGTACTATAGTATATTGTATTGCGCTATAGTATATTGTAGTCTAATCGAGTGTTCCTTTAAGCTGTCAAGCCGTAGCTGCTTTGGAGCTGGTCTTGATGTAAGGCCGACGAACGAATGTTCAGGCTGTAATACTTAAAAAAACATGGGACTTAGCAACTAGGGTTATAATTAGGGTAACTGTACTTTTGTAACTACTTAGAACCCGAATTGAGGTAGGTTCCCAGAGCCCCGCGAGGATCTAGAAAGTAGATCCCCTAATTTGGGGCCCCATACTGCTAAGGGTACTTTCTAGGAGCCCCCATTAAGGGATATATATATATATGTACGTAGGACCTTTAGGGTCTATTTGACGTATGGCTTTGCTTTGTTTATCAATACTATATCAATTCAGGCTTTTCAGATTTTAAGGATTTTAACGATTTCAGATGCTTTTAAAATCTTTTGTTTTTGAAAACCAAGCTTTTCAGATTTTAAAGATTTTAAAGATTTTAAAGGCTTTTGAAATCTTTAAAATCTTTAATTTTTGAAAACCAAGCTTTTCAGATTTTGAAGATTTTAAAGATTTTATAGATTTTTAAAATTTTAAATGGGTGTCGGTGTCCTGGAGCCCAGACCTAACGGTTTAAAATTTTAAAAAATTTTAAAATCTTTAAAATCTGAAAAGCTTGGTTTTCAAAAATTAAAGATTTTAAAGATTTTAAAAGCTTTTAAAATCTTTAATTTTTGAAAACCAAGCTTTTCAGATTTTAAAGATTTTAAAGATTTTAAAGATTTTAAAGATTTTTAAGATTTTAAATAGGTGTCGGTGGCCTGGAGCCCAGACCTAACGATTTAAAATTTTAAAAATCTTTAAAATCTTTAAAATCTTTAAAATCTTTAATTTTTGAAAACCAAGCTTTTCAGATTTTAAAGATTTTAAAGATTTTAAAAGCTTTTAAAATCTTTAAAATCTTTAATTTTTGAAAACCAAGCTTTTCAGATTTTAAAGATTTTAAAGATTTTTAAAATTTTAAATCGTTAGGTCTGGGTTCCAGGCCACCGACACCTATTTAAAATTTTAAAAATCTTTAAAATCTTTAAAATTTTTATTTTTTGAAAACCAAGCTTTTCAGATTTTAAAGATTTTAAAGATTTTAAAAGCTTTTAAAAATCTTTAATTTTTGAAAACCAAGCTTTTCAGATTTTAAAGATTTTAAAGATTTTATAGATTTTTCAAAATTTTAAATGGGTGTCGGTGTCCTGGAGCCCAGACCTAACGATTTAAAATTTTAAAAATCTTTAAAATCTTTAAAATCTTTAATTTTTGAAAACCAAGCTTTTCAGATTTTAAATATTTTAAAGATTTTAAAGGCTTTTAAAATCTTTAAAATCTTTAATTTTTGAAAACCAAGCTTTTCAGATTTTAAAGATTTTAAAGATTTTAAAGATTTTTAAAATTTTAAATCGTTAGGTCTGTGTTCCAGGCCACCGACACATATTTAAAATTTTAAAAATCTTTAAAATCTTTAAAATCTTTAATTTTTGAAAACCAAGCTTTTCAGATTTTAAAGATTTTAAGGATTTTAAAGGCTTTTAAAATCTTTAAAATCTTTAATTTTTGAAAACCAAGCTTTTCAGATTTTAAAGATTTTAAAGATTTTAAAGGTTTTTAAAATCTTTAAAATCTTTAATTTTTGAAAACCAAGCTTTTCAGATTTTATAGATTTTAAAGATTTTAAAGATTCTTAAAATTTAAATAGGTGTCGGTGGCCTCCACCCAGCCCCCAGCCTCTAGCTCCAGCCCCCTGACCCAGCCAGCTCGCAGCCCAGCCCCAGCCGCTCGCCCCCACCAGCCTCCACCCCCAGCCCCAGCCAGCTCTTTCTCTCTGCCCCACCGGTTTTTGCTCCTTCCCTTTACCGCCAGCCCAGCTCCAGCCGCCCGCCTCCGCCAGCTCTCCCTCCCCGCCCTCTACCCCAGCCCAGCCCCAGCCGCCCGCCCCCCCAGCCCCACCCCCAGCCCCACCCACCTCTCCTTCTCTGCCCCTGCTCCCTGCCCCCTGCCTTTGCCCCTATCCCCCCAGCCCAGTCCCAGCCGCCCGCCCCCACCGGCCAGCTCCCCTGCCCCCTGCCTCTGCCCCCCCTCTACCCCCTGTTCGTGCCCTAACCCGGTGCCTTGCCTTGCCCATCTGCCTCCTCCCGCCCAGCCTGCAGCCCCAGCCCAGCGCTCCCCTCAGAGCCTCAACCACCAGCTTTGCTAAGACTCCCACCCCACACCAGCCCCAACCCTCTTTTCCAGAACTCCAGAACAAGGCCCAGCCCGCCCGAAGCCGCCACCAAGAAAGAGCCGCCCCAGCCGAATCCGAAAAGCGCTAAGTTGAAGAGCAGAGGGTTAGCAACTTTGCGTGACAAAATTTGGTGCGATCGGGCTGCGACCTTGTCAACGTGCTGTAAATACCACACTAAAACCGAGCAGGGGTTTAGCAACTTTGCGTGACAAAATTTGGTGCGATCGGGCCGCGACCTTGTCAAAGTGCTGTAAATACCACACTAAAACCGAGCACGGGTTTAGCAGCTTTCCGTGGCAAAACAAGGGCTAGGGATTTCACACATGCGCTGGTAAAATCTGGCGGAAGTGATCCGTGATCGAGCAGAAAGCATGTAAATACCGCGTTAAAACAAGGGCTAGGGATTTCACACATCCGCTGGTAAAATCTGGCGGAAGTGATCGGTGATCGAGCAGAAAGCCTGTAAATACCGCGTTAAAACAAGGGCTCGGGATTTCACACATCCGCTGGCAAAATCTGACGGAAGTGATCGGTGATCACGCAGAAAGCTTGAAATACCGCGTCAAAACCAAGGCTAAGGATTTCACACATCTGCTGGCAAAATCTGGCGGAAGTGATCTCTGATCGAGCAGAAAGCCTGTATAATCCGCGAGCCCCCAGTTCCAGCCCCCAGCCCCAGCCCTCAGCCCCAGCCCCAACCCCGGCCCCCACAATCCCCCCCCAGCCCGCCTCCACCCCCCTGCCCCATGGCCCGGCCCACCCAGCTCCAGCCGCCCCCAAAATTTCAGCCAACAGCCCTGCCCAACCCCAGCCCCAGTGGCCCAGCCGCAGCCACGAATTCCAAGCTTTACCAGCCCTGCCCAACCCCAGCCCAAGCCCGAAAAAGGGCCCCAGCCCCCTGCCCTTAACCCCATGCCTCTCCCCCGCTTCTCCCACCCTGCCTTGCGGTGACACCCCTTGCGATTTGTGATTTTTGAACCTATTTGTTGAAAAAGCCTTTAGGGGGACACTCATTGCGATCTGTGATTCTAGTAATGGAGTTCTTACAAAACCTTAATTAATTAGGGGGACACCCCTTGCGATTTGTGTTTTTGAAACATATTTATTACAAAAACCCTTAGGGTGACACCCCTTGCGATCTATGGTTTTCGTATCTGAGTTACAGGTGTTTTGGTGGACCACAGGTCACTTCCGCCAGATTTTGCCAGCAGATGTGTGAAATCCCTGGCCCCTGTTTTAGCGCGGTATTTACAGGTGTTTTGCTGGATCACAGGTCACTTCCGCCAGATTTTGCCAGCAGATGTGTGAAATCCCTGGCCCCTGTTTTAGCGCGGTATTTACAGGTGTTTTGCTGGATCACAGGTCACTTCCGCCAGATTTTGCCAGCAGATGTGTGAAATCCCTAGTCCTTGTTTTCACGCGGTATTTACATGTGTTTTGTTCGGGCACAGGTCACTTCCGCCAGATTTTGCCAGCAGATGTGTGAAATCCGTAGCCCCTGTTTTAGCGCGGTATTTACAGGTGTTTTGCTGGATCACAGGTCACTTCCGCCAGATTTTGCCAACAGATGTGGGAAATCCCTAGTCCTTGTCTTCACGCGGTATTTACATGTGTTTTGTTCGAGCACAGGTCACTTCCGCCAGATTTTGCCAGCAGATGTGTGAAATCCCTAGCCCTTGTTTTCAAGCGGTACTTACAGGTGTTTTGCTGGACCACAGGTCACTTCCGCCAGATTTTGCCAGCAGATGTGTGAAATCCCTAGTCCTTGTCTTCACGCGGTATTTACATGTGTTTTGTTCGAGCACAGGTCACTTCCGCCAGATTTTGCCAGCAGATGTGTGAAATCCCTAGCCCTTGTTTTCATGCGGTATTTACAGGTGTTTTGCTGGACCACCGCCAGATTTTGCCAGCAGATGTGTGAAATCCCTAGCCCTTGTTATAGCGCGATATTTACATGCTTTCTGCTCGGTCGCGGCTCGGGCAGGGAAGGCTGGGCGTGCGGAAGCAGGCAGCCGTGCCCACCCACCCCGTCCCATCCCACCACACACCTCACTCCCCCCCACCTCTCTCTTTATCATCCACCTCATCATCTTCACTATCTTCCTCCTCCTCATCCCTCGTCCTCCTCCCATACCCCTCCCTCCCTCTCCCTATCCCTCCCACTACCCCCTCCCCTCACCTTCCTCACTCTCCCCCACCTCCACTCCCTCAACCTCTCCTCTTCCCCTTTCTCTCTCCTGGAATCTCCACCCTCCCCCACCCTCCCTTCTCTCCTTCTTAAATATCCCCCTAAGGTTTTGTGAAAACTCAGATCCCAAAACCACAGATCTTAAGGGGTGTCCCCAAAAGGTTTTCATGACAAGTAAGTTCAAAAATCACAAATCGCAAGGGGTGTGCCCCTCTCAGGCTTTGTAAGAACTCAGAGCCAAAAATCACACATCGCAAGGAGCGTCCCTCTAAACGCGTTTGTAAATGATCCACCCTGTCCCTCTCCCTTGCCTCCTACCTCCCCCACTCCTAACTCATTCCTTCCCTTCCCATCTCATGTCTCCTCACCTCCCATCACTTTTTCTCCCATCCACTCATCTTCTTATCATCTTCTTATCACATTCATCACTTTTTAATTTGTCTTATGGGGTCTATAGAGCCCATATAGAAAAGCTTCATAGATATGTAAACCTTAC